CCTCCCCAGGCAGGGGTCACTGTCCCCAACTCCCCTCCCCAGCAAAGTGGGTACTGGGCAGGGCACACTGTCCCCCCCCGCGCCGAGCAGGGGCCATGGTGCCCTCCCAGGCAGGGGAGCACAGGACTCATGGGCAGGGCGCATGGAGCCCCCCAGGGTAAGGGACACAGCTCCCCTCCACTCCCTGCCAAGGCAGGGCACACAGTCCCCGCCCTGGGCAGGGTACATGGTGTCCCCCAGGAGGGGGTGCACAGTCCCACCGAAATCCTCCAGAGTGATGGAGAGGAGCCCCGGGAGTCCATTTCCCTGGGGAAAAGGCAGGTCCAGTGAGTCTGGGAGCACCAGAGCCTGGCCCCTGTGAGTCCCCACGGGCACACAAGCCGTGTATCCATAGAGATCCATGGGGCCCACGGAGCCCCCCTGTACCCCCCTGCTGCCCTAGGGGCTCTGGCCTACGGGGGGAGGCCAGTCACCCAGCTCCTGGCTCTGCACCCTGGCCAGGGCACATGCCCTGATCCATCAGGAGGGGCTGGTGCTGGCAGCACTCAATCCTCCCTTAAGGAGCTCTGACAGCTCGTGGGCAACCTCAGCTGCACTTCACACCTCACAACAGGGACACTAATTCCCAGGCTGACACCACTGGCTGCCCTTGGCTCCAGGGCCAGGGGTCCTGGGGTGGAACCCAGCCACAGTGCTGGCTGCACCCTGCAGCCCCACGTCCCCCTGCCAGGCGGTGAATGATGTGGCACTATGGGTCCCCTGGGAGCACATGGCCTTGAGCTCGGTCTTGACTGATCCTGCCCTGCTCCCAGCCCAACACCTGGGTGCCAAGAGTGCTCCCAAGCTGGCACATGGGGCCCAGAGCAGAAAAGGGGGGCCCCTGGCAGCAATGGGGCCAGAGTGAGCTGGCTGCAGGCAGGCGGGGGGCAGGTTGGGGGGCAGCTACCCTCATCCCACAGTGGCCAGGCTGGGTGCCTCCTGCTCTGGCCCCACCCAGGGATGCAGTCACTTCCCAGCAGAGCCCCGTTCCCTCCCACCCGCTCGGGGAATCGCCAAATAAGAACAAAGTCTCGGCCAGGGAGAACAACCGGGGCGGGAACTTGGGGAGAAGCTTTTGGGATCATGGCCTGGGAACAGCGGAGTTTCCCTGGGCCCCGCTGGTGTGGCTGGGGACAGGCCACCAGGTGGGGATGTGGGGGACTGGAGGGGGCCACTCTGGCTAAACCTGGTGTCCTGGCTGCACCATGTCCAGCAGCCCCTGCCCACATCCTGCCCAGGGCACCGCAGGCTGTCCCTCCTGGGGACAAGAGGTGATGGGGCTGCGGTGCCCTCGCAGAGCTGCTGGGAAGGGGCTGCCAGCACCATGTGGCTGCCAGCACCATGGGGCTGCCCATCAGGGGTCGGGTGCTCCCTGGTCTGTGCCACCATCTGCCCCCCTCCAAGTGCCCAGGTGGTCGCATTCACACCCCTTAGTGCAGCCCCTTCATGCACTGCCACCCCATGCTGGTGGCAGGGCAGTGCCAGGGCGGGGAGAGATTTATTCTTTTAAGGTATTTGTTGACATTTTTGCTGAGAACAGGAGCCTGCCCGGGTCACTGTGATGGGCCCTGATCTGGCCGAGGGATGGGAACACACTGTGCTCCCAGGAACATGCTGTCCTGGCACCCAAGGGGAGCACATGTATCCCTGGGGAGGAGGGCAGCTGGGGTCTGGGGGTCTACCCTGCTCTTCCTCCACTGGAGCCAGGAGCTGCACTGCTCCTTGTCCCAGGGAGGAGGTGACACCAGCCCTGGCACTTAGTGCTGTCAGCACATTCAGGTCCCTGGCACAGGGACCTGGTACATCACAGAACCCTGCACACAGCGCAGCCTGTCCAGGCTTTGGCACAGACCTGGGGTGGCTGTGCTGGTGATGGGCTCCCAGGCCTGTCCACAGTGCCCACTGCAGCCAGCCTGCCCTCCCTGATGCTGCTCCTTCACCATGTCCCCCGCTCCAGCCCTTCCCTGGCAGGGTTGGTGGCTCCCATCCATCCTATCTGCTGGGATGAGATTCTCCGTGTCAAAGCCTGCAGACTTGCCAAGCTGCTGTGGACCAAGAGCGGTGTAACATCCCCTCCCCACCCAGGACGGCATTGCATGGCCTGCTGCCAGTGGCAAACGACTCCACACGCCATAGCTGACATCTGCCCAGTGCCACTGTTTGCTCCTTCCTCTGAGCCCCACACTGGGGATGTCCCATCCATGATCAGCCAGACTGAGTTTGCCCCATCCTACACCAGTCAGATCAACGTGAACACCACTACACACAGCAACCACCCTGCTCAGGAAGACATGCCTACCCCATGCCAGGATAAATGTGCATTTCCAGAGGATTTTCAATGTTTTAACTACTTGGTTTAGTATCTTATTAAAACAGGGCAGGTCCGCAGGGTCAGCAAAGGCTGGGGAACTGCCTGGCCATGTCCCGGGGGCTCAAGGCTGCCCCAGAGACTTGTGCTGCCACTGCTCGTCCTTGTCTGCTCACCCCCGTCCTTGGCGGCCACCTCAAAGATTTGACGCATCTCCCCCATTTAGCTCCATAAACCAGCTGGGATTGAATTTTTTGTTCTCAATCCTAAAAAGCCTGGCCATGCCAGGCTGGCCGTGCTCCAGCCGGCTCCCCTTTAGCTTCTCCTCCAGTTTCCAGGGTTGGTTTTCATCAAAGAAGGATTGGCTATCAAAAGGAGGATTTATTTATAGGG